TTAGATTAGATGGAAGGAAGAAGTTCTTTACAGTGGGGGTGCTGAGGCACTGCAATGAGTTGCTCAGAGAAGTGGTCCATCCCTGGCAGTGTTCAAGGCCAGGTTGGACAGAGCCTTGGGCGACACCGTTTAGTGTGACATGACCCTGTCCATGGCAGGGGGGTTGGAACTAGATGATCTTAAGGTCCTTTCCAACCCAAACCATTCTATGATTGTAACATGGCACACTCCTTCCCAAAGTGCCTATTTTCAGTATGCAGTAACTGTTACTCACTCCTTTAGCCTGAAGAAGACAGCAAATGGCTTCATTGTTGTTGCCCCACAGAACTGTTGTCTGGGGAGGAAAAAAACCCCAATCAACAAACAATAGTAGTTTTTATTTATTTTTGGACAGTGCCTCCAGGTGATGGAGGTCACGGGCTGCCAGCACCTTAGTGATGGAGAACTGCAGGTTCATGCATTGGAGCTTTGTTGCAGAAGAATAAAATAAAAAGCTGGTATAACTCAAGACTTAGTTTTACCACAAGGAGATTGTTCACATACTGCCAGTTCCCACGCTTCCCTCTCTCAGCTATGATAAATTAACTTTAGAGAAAAATGATAGGTGAAGTGCACACAAGAGTAACCTGCTGCCACTTGGTATCAGCAGGTGAGTTTGTGCTCACTGCAGAGGAGGAAATTGTAGGGTTTAGCTTGTTAAAAGGAGAAAAAAGCCAGCATCTGCCCCTCCAGCTGGAGGAGCCCAAGGTTAGAATTGTTGTGAGAAATGCAGGAGGATGAGGCGTGTGTTTGAGTGCAGCAGAACTCAATGGAAATCTGTATTCTGCTTCTACACAGAGCAGTAGACCTGGAAAATGTGCTATAGTCTTCTACTGACATTGTAAGCAGCCACACAGGTACTCACCCAACCAAGGTGGTGTACTCACATCTTTGTTGCGACCAGTCATCGTTAAAAGGTTGAATGTTGTGAAACTGAAATTACACGATTCCGAGTTCATTGCAAAGATCACTGCAAGGTAAGCACATACAGCTGTGTTATCCCTGTGTGCTCCCAGCATTCATGGTGTTATCATTTCAACATCGCTTACAGCAAAACTTACATTGTGAACTGTGAGGTACATCCCATAGACCAAGAACTAAATCCTTGAAGGATCCGATTCGCAGACTGTTCCTCACCCTGTACGATGGTGCTGCATTCACAGGATGGGTGAAAGAGAATTCCACATTTTCAGAACGCTCATGCTTCCCCCTAGGATTTCTGTAACCATGGTAACACAGAGAGAGAGCAGCCCTGATTTCAACCCGTGTTTTATTGTTCCAGCAGTAAAGAATTAGATTCTATAAATAACCACCCATCAGCATAGAATACTGGCCTTTTACTTCCCTATTAGTAAAAATAATGCAGGTTATATATTGCTACAGTTAAACATTCCGTATAAAGCGCCACGATCAACTCTGTAATAAAACTACGTGGGATGTCTTGTTTCATAAGCCACAGAGAAGAAGGGGAGAGAGTATTGTATTTTTAATAAATAAAGAATAAATACAACTGTGCTCAAGTGAACTTCAGCTTGAAATTAAAACAAAAAGGCACCCCCGTTAAATTTTCACGTGTTTTATTTAGGTGAACATACACATGGTCCACATATCAATGAAAATAGTCATAAAATAATTTAAGAACTTATGTGGAAAGGTATTAGCAGCACCATCAGTATTGGAATAGCAGAAAAATCAAGCCTCCGGAGGGCACACATTTATGCCTGGCTAAAAATGCCATCGTGTGTAACAGGGGACGGGAATGGCTTTATAGGACGCTCTTGGGAGTTGGAGTTTTAAAACACACACTTTTTTGTGCTAAATACTTTTGACGATTAATGTTACAAAAAATACAACTAAATAAGATACTGCATAGTATTTTAATTAACATAAAAGAACTGGACATTGAGCTGTGTAAAGCCAGGCTCAACGTCTCTGCTTCCACATACATTTCATTTCTGGAGTAGAGAAATCTAAAATTTAAAAACAAAATATAGACCTAGTGTATTCTCTAAAAGACACACTTTAGGTGGAACGTATAGTACTACGAAAATACATATCTTCCATTCTGTTTAATAATTTACTTTAGTTAAAAAGTTGTGAAATTCTCCTCACAAGAAGCGTATACAAATTCATGACTTTAGTAAATTAACAAAAAGGATTATTTTTTTTTTTAAAACAAGGTTTAACCCCGCTGTAACAATTATACAAGGAAGAAAACTGACTACATTTATATGAAGGAATACAAATTTACACACATTTTACAGCAACTTATACCCTACACATCTACAAAATTCACAGTTATAATACAAGCAAATACAAGGCTGGGATAAAGCTGTTGGATACCAAAAAATGTTTCTACTTTAAAAAACGATAAAACAGGAAGAGTTTCAAACTTCTGCACCGACTTTCCAATTCTACTCAGACCTGAACGCGCTTCCCGCAGAGCAGCCCCTCAGCACACACACACTGCTTTCCGGGGCGGGTGGAACAGCGAGGTGCTGAGCTTCTTCTGGCCGCGCAGGCTGCGGCGCATGGCCAGCCTGGAGTTTCGGCGCTGCGCCGTGGCGGACATGCCCTCCGGCGGGACGCTCATGCTCCGACTCAGGCCGCGTCTCGGCTTCTTCATCGCTGGGCCCGAGTTGGATTCTTCCAATGTCCTTTTAAAGTTTGCCGTGGGTGTCCGCTCGGCATCTTGGGCTTTTGTCTGGCCGTTAGGGGATACCTTGAAGCCTTTTTGGTCCGTGCCTGAATTTGCAGAGTTGGAAGGGGAGAGACTGACTGACAAACCGTTGCTGTAGGATTCATGTATCCTCAAAGCCAACGCTTTGCTGCACTTCTCCTCCTGCGGGCCCGAATCCTTCAGGGTTGCTCCTGATGGAGGTAAATTGCTTTTGGCAATCTCGTTTGGCAGCTCTAAACACTTTTCTGAAATCATGTTGCTATGCGTGAGGGGAGGGATGGGCTCAGAAGCGCTCAGCCGTGGCCATGGATCATCTTCTAAAAGCTGAGGGGAAAGAAAAAATATTTAGGCATAAATATAATTATTTCACCTGTGTTATCCTTTGAGAGCAGAGACAGTGTGTGACAGAACTTGTCTAAACCTCATCAGACACAGAAAATCCTACTCCAAAACAGAGTTAGTTATTCTCCACATTGAGAGGCAGAAACAAATTCAGAGCACGGATCTGAACTTGGTACTCTGTGCACAGCAGCTTCATAAAACCATTTATTTCAGCCCTCCAGCCTACAAGTGTCTTGCAACAGCAGATGTGTCACCTTTGCAGTCAGAGGGCTGTGCAGACTTACTCAGCCCGTGTACCTGCCTCTTCAGTGCTATAAAATGCTGAAGAGGCTGCACGCGTCTGATGTTGATTTAGGAAGCCATGTAGAAAGCAGTGCCTGTTATCTCTGACGATTTTCATCAGGAGCATTTTGCAACATGTAGACATAAGTTCCCTCCTTCAGACATCACGATACATGCACCTGTACTGTCCCTCTGAAGATGTTACATGCCATCAGATGGCGAAACACCGTGAGGTCAAACAAACAGCAGAAAGAGTCTTCTGACCTTTGTTACGTTCAGAATTCTTGGTTACTGCATAACCAGATTATGATGGAGACTGATGAACTCCTCATCAGACTGTCCTGACTGCACACAGAAAGGTGGAGCATCGGACAAAAGCTATTCTAAAAACAGTTCCTCCCTGCTGTGAAGTAACACATTTTATTGCCTGGTTTTATGCTCTACAACTTATAAAGAATGCAACTCCATTCCTCACAGCACATCTATCCACTCTCACAGTCATTCCGTCTGTTGAAGAGACGTGGTTAATATGATGTGCTGAGAACCAGGGACTTTCTAAACTCTAATCCTACCTTCAGCTACTAATCTCTTCTGCAGCCTTTGAGAAGCGTTTTTGCCTCGCTCTCAGTTCTACCAACAGGAAAATGGGGACAATACTTCCTTCCACTATCCACAGGGAGATTTTGAAAATTAGTACTTATGCAGTGCCCTGAAGAGATAAATTATGACCTTATTACAGATTTAATTGTGACAAAATCCCCAGGTACTCAGTGAGTCCTTCAAAAGTAAATTTCAAGGCTGCATTACGCTTCATACTCTTCATGTAAAGCAAGTGACAGTAACTATTGAAAGGAAACAGTGTGCTGGAAGCTCAGATGCACACACAGCTGGACCAGGGTCAGCCAGTGTGACATCTCAGACAAGTAAACAGACACTTTTCAGTCTAAACCCAGAACAACTTCAGTTCACCTTCAGGAAGAGATCTGCGACTGCTCAGCACTTTGGAAAAATCTAATACTGAGGTTTAATAAAACACGCTCCAAAAGAGAAAACAATCACAACTGTTTCTAGCATCTAGGTTTGGGTTTCCACTCCCCTCTACTCCCCTGGTGTAGATAAAACCATTTCAATAATATTCTTCTACTACATATAGCACCACGGGAGGGAAGCCCTTGATGGATGCTATGTTAGAGGTTATCCAACTCCGTTCTTGCAGAACTCATGAGATGACACACACACACACACAGCAGCCCTGGCAATGGCACTAAATCTGCTCAATTTCAGTTTTGAAACTGTGACTCCATGACTTAGGTTTAGTGGGTTTATTGTGCAAGATGCTTACTGGCAACATCATCTACTTGGAATGACTGGATATGGCTTTGGGAAGCCAAATGAAGGCAGCTAAAGCGTGATGTAACAGAACAAGGAAAATAAAATGCAAATCACCAATTTAGTTTCTCAAGGAGCTCATTAATCAAATTTTATCACAGGCCTCAGGAATACCTGAATTTGTTTGATATTAGGAATTGTTGCCACAAGGATAAGCAAACAAGAAATACTTCATTTAATTGAGAAACTTTGACTTGCTCTCCATCTATTTCCAAATCTCTTGTTTGGGAATGAAGCAGCTATTACATGGTGAGGCCATCCATGCCTCCTTCAGCTCTTCCAAGGGAACCTTCCATTGCCAGCTCTTGGTTTTGCTGACCTGTCCCCTCCGGGCTATGATCCTACCACAGTCTTCAGGAGCTGAGGCTGATCTGGGGAACCACCTCTCATGTACTTACAGAAACTACCATGATCCCTGCTCAGTAAAAGTCAATGGTAATTTTTTAAGAAGATGAATTAATTACAGACCTAAATTAGATCATGTATTTACCTGCAGCTTTATATATCAAGGGATTTACATATTGTTTTGCAAGTGGATATTGTCATCTATTGCCATACTTTTGTGTAATCAACCAAATGGGGCTCTTCCCTCCTGCAAGCCTGACACTATCACTAGGATCAAACAGGATCATGAAACAAGGGCATTTCCTGAATCCCTGAAGTTATCACCATCAGAAAAGAGTTCCAAAATTCATATTCTGAAAGAGCTGTGTGGCTTTACTCTGTAAGGAAACTGGCACCTTGCAAGAAGGCTACTGGTTTATGTCTGAAGCAAGGCATAAGAAACCACATACTCAACCATTTCAGGGGAGGGTCCCAAATGCTTCAAATCATGTGTCATGCCAATGTTAATTTTAAACAGAACACTGAGCCAACAGCACTCCTGCACCACTGACTATCACCAGAAGGCTCCCACGAAGTCCAGCTGCTGTGTAAAGGAAAAGCCTACAGCCCAGCCAGCTTCCTTCTCACACTTCCTCTGGCAGTCACAGGTACTCTGTGAGGACAGCTGGATGCCTGCTGTTAAAGCAGAAACCTTTATGACATTAGTACTTGTAATAAAAAAGTAATGAGAAAATGGGATCTATGTTTTTAAATTGGTGACACCAGTTCTATTTTAATCCAAGAGGAGAAAAACTTTTGCATGAAAAAAGAACTAATTTATATATACATATATATGTATAAAATATATACACATATATGT